TGTGCAGTGGTGAGTGTAGTCTCAGTGTTGATGATGGTGGTGGTGTTGGGCACGACTTGTGCGTTGTCGAGTAATTGTTCTGTTGTGAGTTGCGCGACATCGGTAACTGGTTGTGATGTTGCAGATGCAGATGTTGGTTGTGTGGATTGTGCAGTGGTGAGTGTAGTCTCAGTGTTGATGATGGTGGTGGTGTTGGGCACGACTTGTGCGTTGTCGAGTAATTGTTCTGTTGTGAGTTGCGCGACATCGGTAACTGGTTGTGATGTTGCAGATGCAGATGTTGGTTGTGTGGATTGTGCAGTGGTGAGTGTAGTCTCAGTGTTGATGATGGTGGTGGTGTTGGGCACGACTTGTGCGTTGTCGAGTAATTGTTCTGTTGTGAGTTGCGCGACATCGGTAACTGGTTGTGATGTTGGAGATGCAGATGTTGGTTGTGTGGATTGTGCAGTGGTGAGTATAGTCTCAGTGTTGATGATGGTGGTGGTGTTGGGCACGACTTGTGCGTTGTCGAGTAATTGTTCTGTTGTGAGTTGCGCGACATCGGTAACTGGTTGTGATGTTGCAGATGCAGATGTTGGTTGTGTGGATTGTGCAGTGGTGAGTGTAGTCTCAGTGTTGATGATGGTGGTGGTGTTGGGCACGACTTGTGCGTTGTCGAGTAATTGTTCTGTTGTGAGTTGCGCGACATCGGTAACTGGTTGTGATGTTGCAGATGCAGATGTTGGTTGTGTGGATTGTGCAGTGGTGAGTGTAGTCTCAGTGTTGATGATGGTGGTGGTGTTGGGCACGACTTGTGCGTTGTCGAGTAATTGTTCTGTTGTGAGTTGCGCGACATCGGTAACTGGTTGTGATGTTGCAGATGCAGATGTTGGTTGTGTTGGGCACGACTTGTGCGTTGTCGAGTAATTGTTCTGTTGTGAGTTGCGCGACATCGGTAACTGGTTGTGATGTTGCAGATGCAGATGTTGGTTGTGTGGATTGTGCAGTGGTGAGTGTAGTCTCAGTGTTGATGATGGTGGTGGTGTTGGGCACGACTTGTGCGTTGTCGAGTAATTGTTCTGTTGTGAGTTGCGCGACATCGGTAACTGGTTGTGATGTTGCAGATGCAGATGTTGGTTGTGTGGATTGTGCAGTGGTGAGTGTAGTCTCAGTGTTGATGATGGTGGTGGTGTTGGGCACGACTTGTGCGTTGTCGAGTAATTGTTCTGTTGTGAGTTGCGCGACATCGGTAACTGGTTGTGATGTTGCAGATGCAGATGTTGGTTGTGTGGATTGTGCAGTGGTGAGTGTAGTCTCAGTGTTGATGATGGTGGTGGTGTTGGGCACGACTTGTGCGTTGTCGAGTAATTGTTCTGTTGTGAGTTGCGCGACATCGGTAACTGGTTGTGATGTTGCAGATGCAGATGTTGGTTGTGTGGATTGTGCAGTGGTGAGTGTAGTCTCAGTGTTGATGATGGTGGTGGTGTTGGGCACGACTTGTGCGTTGTCGAGTAATTGTTCTGTTGTGAGTTGCGCGACATCGGTAACTGGTTGTGATGTTGCAGATGCAGATGTTGGTTGTGTGGGTTTGTGCAGTGGTGAGTGTAGTCTCAGTGTTGATGATGGTGGTGGTGTTGGGCACGACTTGTGCGTTGTCGAGTAATTGTTCTGTTGTGAGTTGCGCGACATCGGTAACTGGTTGTGATGTTGGAGATGCAGATGTTGGTTGTGTGGATTGTGCAGTGGTGAGTGTAGTCTCAGTGTTGATGATGGTGGTGGTGTTGGGCACGACTTGTGCGTTGTCGAGTAATTGTTCTGTTGTGAGTTGCGCGACATCGGTAACTGGTTGTGATGTTGCAGATGCAGATGTTGGTTGTGTGGATTGTGCAATGGTGAGTATAGTCTCAGTGTTGATGATGGTGGTGGTGTTGTGCACGACTTGTGCGTTGTCGAGTAATTGTTCTGTTGTGAGTTGCGCGACATCGGTAACTGGTTGTGATGTTGGAGATGCAGATGTTGGTTGTGTGGATTGTGCAGTGGTGAGTGTAGTCTCAGTGTTGATGATGGTGGTGGTGTTGGCACGACTTGTGCGTTGTCGAGTAATTGTTCTGTTGTGAGTTGCGCGACATCGGTAACTGGTTGTGATGTTGCAGATGCAGATGTTGGTTGTGTGGATTGTGCAGTGGTGAGTGTAGTCTCAGTGTTGATGATGGTGGTGGTGTTGGGCACGACTTGTGCGTTGTCGAGTAATTGTTCTGTTGTGAGTTGCGCGACATCGGTAACTGGTTGTGATGTTGCAGATGCAGATGTTGGTTGTGTGGATTGTGCAGTGGTGAGTGTAGTCTCAGTGTTGATGATGGTGGTGGTGTTGGGCACGACTTGCGCGTTGTCGAGTAATTTTTCTGTTGTGAGTTGCGCGACATCGGTAACTGGTTGTGATGTTGGAGATGCAGATGTTGGTTGTGTGGATTGTGCAGTGGTGAGTGTAGTCTCAGTTTTGATGATGTTGGTGGTGTTGGGCACGACTTGTGCGTTGTCGAGTAATTGTTCTGTTGTGAGTTGCGCGACATCGGTAACTGGTTGTGATGTTGGAGATGCAGATGTTGGTTGTGTGGATTGTGCAGTGGTGAGTGTAGTCTCAGTGTTGATGATGTTGGTGGTGTTGTGCACGACTTGTGCGTTGTCGAGTAATTGTTCTGTTGTGAGTTGCGCGACATCGGTAACTGGTTGTGATGTTGGAGATGCAGATGTTGGTTGTGTGGATTGTGGAGTGGTGAGTGTAGTCTCAGTGTTGATGATGGTGGTGATGTTGGGCACGACTTGTGCGTTGTCGAGTAATTGTTCTGTTGTGAGTTGCGCGACATCGGTAACTGGTTGTGATGTTGGAGATGCAGATGTTGGTTGTGTGGATTGTGCAGTGGTGAGTGTAGTCTCAGTTTTGATGATGTTGGTGGTGTTGGGCACGACTTGTGCGTTGTCGAGTAATTGTTCTGTTGTGAGTTGCGCGACATCTTTAACTGGTTTCGAAATTGTTGATGTGTATATATTTTGTTTAGAATTTGCTGTGTTATTTGTATTGTCAGTATTTATGTTTTTGATGGTTGTTTTTGTTTTTGTGGTTGAGGTTATTCTTGTGATGGTTGTTGTGTTGATCTCCTGTTCGTTTTCGAAGTATTTTTCTCTGGGAAATTTCGCGAGCTCTTCCTGTGATTGTGATTTTGTTGTTTCCGATGATATTTTTGTTCTTTCTGGATAATTTTGTTTACTATCTGTATTTGTTGTTGTTATCGTGGTTGTGGTGTTTGTGATTGTGATTGTTGTTGTTTCAGTTTTGGTCTTGTTCGGTATATCTTGTGAATTTTCGAGATATCGTTCTATTTTTGGCTCCATAACTTCGGTAACTGGATGTGTTTTTGGTGATTCAGAATTTTGTTTTGCGGATTGTGTAGTAGTGAGTATTGTCTCATTATTGGTATATATTGGCTTTTTATCAATTTTCTGTTCGTTTTTCGTCTTCTCATTTATTTTTGTTACTTCGTTTTCTTTCCGACATTTTCGATCATCTTGTTTTTCTGTTTGCATTATTTTTTGTTGTTGCTCTACTTGAAATTCACTGATATTTCTTTCTGTTTTCGATATTGCACGCTGCTCTTGATTTTGTACAATCGAAGATTTTCTATCATCTCCTTCCGATATTTGTCTTTGTAACGCTAATCGTTTCTCATTTGTTCCACTGAAATCTATGATAAGTTGTGTTTGTTGTGACTTCCTTTTATTTTCATTGTCAATATCTGATTTTGTTTCTTGTTCTTCGCCTCCATATTTCACATTTGATTCGTTTACATTTCGGTCGTACATGTGATCATTCGATGTGGTCACTGATAAATAAGGCATCGGAATTTCGTTTGTTAATGATGAATTCAATTGATTTTGCACTAGATTCATAACATCCATTTCTGATTGATTGTTCTTGGCAATCGGATTAGTTTCATTTGCATCAAAAACAATATGTGAGATAGTTTGATTCTGTTGTACATTGGTGTGTTCATTTAGTTGTCCACTAATGTGATTCAATTGTAGTTTCAAATAGAAACAGAATGTCAATAAAATCATCTTCATCAATATCATGATTTGTGTATGATTGAATCAGAGTTATTCATAAGATAATCAGTGTGATATGAAGTTGAATTTGCAACTTCAATACGCTGTATTTGTAAATCAGTTTCATTTATATACTAATTTTCTTGTTGCTAATATGTTGTATGAATAAAATGACAAGAGTTCACGTAGACAATACAGATCACCTCTCATAAGTGTGATCGTTTAATAATCCTTTTCATATACAATTTCTCACTTTATACTTTAATTGAATGAAAACATGTAAAGGGCATTGTCTATCATTTGATTAATTAATGTATTTGAATGGTAGTCTTTAATAACATAACCGATATTAACACTAATATTTCTCATTTTAATCAAACCACAATCGTTTTAATCTTAGTTCTTAAAAGATCAGTGTTTATGAAAAGAGATTAATTTCTTTAGTTGTTATCCTTCTCAACTTTAAATTCAATCCACTTACATAATCTTTATCAGTGTTTTTATGTGCTGATAATTTTTGACTTCATGTTTCATTCAATGTGACCTAATGCAATATTATTCTATAATTATTGAACATTCTCAAATCAGCACGTAGATCAGCACACTGGATATATATTCACACGTTGGTTGTATTCTTAGTTATTTATATATATACTAATGTGAATATCAGTAACTCTAGTATTGTAGTTGTTGTTGTATATGCGGTAATAGCAGTAGTTCTAGTGGGAATAGGTGTAATTGTGATGTAAGTAATACTTGAGGTTTAGGCGACTGAAATATAGAGAAGAGAGAAGGAAACTGATAGCAATCAAGATAACAACAGGAATGAAGCAGCAATGAAGCTTGTAAGAGACGATGATATGATGTGAAAATGCAGTAGTTTACGTATGATTTTCACACTTTACTAAACCACTGTGTAATTATGTACCGATCAATATAAACTGGGCTTTTTCATCTGAGTGTTCGTTCACTACAGTAGTAGTACTTTGAGAAGTAGTATTAATAGTATTATGGGTAGTAGTAGTAGTAGTAGTAGTAGTAGTAGTAGTAGTAGTAGTAGTAGTAGTAGTAGTAGTAGTAGTAGTAGTAGTAGTAGTAGTAGTAGTAGTAGTAGTAGTAGTAGTAGTAGTAGTAGTAGTAGTAGTAGTAGTAGTAGTAGTAGTAGTAGTAGTAGTAGTAGTAGTAGTAGTAGTAGTAGTAGTAGTAGTAGTAGTAGTAGTAGTAGTAGTAGTAGTAGTAGTAGTAGTAGTAGTAGTAGTAGTAGTAGTAGTAGTAGTAGTAGTAGTAGTAGTAGTAGTAGTAGTAGTAGTAGTAGTAGTAGTAGTAGTAGAAGAAGAAGAATAATAAGTACTAAATAGAAGTGCACATGAAAGGAATGCCATCATTATGGTTGTGAGTCAACAATACAGAAGAAGCATTATTATGAGGATATTAATCAGTTAATGTGGTTTGATCTAACTATTTCAATCTTATTATTGAGAATCACCATCAGATTATGATGTTTGTACCAATTGTTCATTATTATTTCACAGTGTTCGAAGCATTTTCTAATTGTTATGGTTACTCAAATATTTAACTATCATTTTAGTGATATATACACAGCATAATTTTGTTATACTTTTGATATTCCGTTTGATAGATTGTATTTAAACGTCACTAAATTGAATACAACTGTTGATGAAATGATGCTTTCTTTAAGTACTTTCGGTTTATCATACAGTCGAAAGGGTACAGCTTCAATAGACTTATTTCTTTGTTAGTTATATATCTGATTTTGTTTCGATGAAGTTATTTCCCAACAGAACGATCAACAGTCCAACCAATAACATATGTTGATCTTAATGTTCAATTTATCGAGGATTTAAAATTATAGAAGTTTATTAAAACAACTATAAGAAAAAACATTGGTAGACAGTACTCTTTTTTAGTTTAACTTGGTACTCAAAATTACGAGAAAGTAGTATATTTTTAAAATATGCGATATGGTGTGAACAGAGAATAGGAGTTAATAGGGAAATAATATGAATCTCCATGCTCTTTTGCTCTAAAAAGAAATTATGCTACTGTTATATCTTGTAACCGCCGATTAGAGGGCAGTGAATTATCGATCGGACCAAGGACGCGTAAAACACGTGCGAACAGCCTAGAGTCCTGGTTGGTCCTGCTTCCCACCTAGCCCAGCCAGTTAAGTTCAGAACACCGGTCTCAGCCTCTGCAATATGAATCATGTATTTCAAACATACTCTGTTTATATACCAATCAAGTAGACCACATGGTACCATAAAATAGAAAACAACATTTGTACAAGATTTGGCCAAATGTGGGAGGTAGTGATTAATAGACAGGGCATAATTTAAGAATGGAAAATCGTATAATAACAGTTCATAGGTTAAAATAAAGCTTATGATAAGAGAGACAGGAATATGAATAATTTAGTTAATTAACAATTATGCGATAAAAATATACTCATGATATTGGTCCATAAATGGATCCCAAAAATTACCATTCATTATTCTTATCGGGACACAACAACTACTCATGTTTTGTTCTTTCTACATCAGTGAACTATGCGGTAAGGTTCACCGCTTCCCGATCATGTAGTCTTTTCACTTGTACTCTAAGAAAGAAAGATAATCTTGGAATGAAAACTTTAAAGCTAAGAAATTCTTCACATTGAATACTATTCTGAACACATACTATCTCAGTTTTGCTTAGATAAAGTTGACTATAGTTTGTAAGATAATTTAAAATGTTACGTGTTAAAATTAATTTTCTATGGAGTGACCAAATAAATAGAAACTATAAGTAGAGTATGACATTATGTAGTTGAAGTTAGAGTAACCATTTGAGGTCAGTATAACTAAGATAAACGATAAAAGTATTGGTTGTTACCGCTTTCATGGTAACAGTATAGTGGAATATACCTGAAGTATTAGGATAGATAACTGTATTAGAAGTATAAACAGGTTAGAAACTACTTATGAACGATGGTATGAACAGTTTTGGGGATTAAGATAGCCATATTACGTTCTCAGATAAAAATAATTGTGTAATCGAGGTATTGACACATTTACTTTCAACGTAATTTAGTCTAGATGTGCAGTTCCACAAAGTGAGTTCACGTAAATAATTCTGTGCATGGTTGATACGTATGCTATTTAGATCAGTGAATCAATAAATAGCTTTCAGTTAGTTATTTCACACAAGTCCTAGACAAGTAAGTTTTCAACATCTAGTTATTTGCTTTTGTTAATTCCTTTAAGTTTTAGCTTTACAACTCAGATCATCACTTGCTGTTCGCCAAGATGAAATTGAAACTCCAGAAGTGCTGGACAACGGGGCGGACAATATCACAGAAGTTCGATACAGCCTTTCTTCGTGATATTGACAAACTCAACAAATTCAAGATAATCCTCAGCAATAAGTTCTAGGCCTTTCATGATCTACTCAATGGAGAAGGAACTACTATGAAGAGCGACTGGAAGGGGACCAAAGAGGCAATCACTTCAACATGTCATGAGGTCCTGGGTCACAAGAAGCACCATCACAAGGAATGGATCACCGTTGATACGCTGGATAAGATTCAAGAAAGAAGGAACAAGAAGGCAGCAATCAATACCAGCCGAACAAGAGAAGAAAAAGCCAAGACACAAGCTGAATACACAGAAGTAAGCAAGCAAGTGAAGAGGAGCATCAGTAAATATGTGGAAGATTTAGCAATGACAGCAGAAAAGGCTGCAAGAGAAGGAAACATGAGACAACTGTATGACACGACAAAGAAACTCTCTGGAAATCGCCGCAGACCAGAACGACCAGTGAAAAGCAAGGAAGGCGAGGTAATCACCAACATTGAAGAGCAACAAAACAGGTGGGTAGAACACTTCAAAAAACTCTTGAATCGACCAGCCTCACTGAACCCACCCAACATTGAGGCAGCACACACGGACCTCCCAATCGATGTTGGCTCACCAACAACTGAAGAAATCAGTATGGCCATCAGACCAATCAAGAGTGGCAAAGCAGCAGGACCAGACAACATTCCAGTAGAGGCACTAAAAGCAGACGTAGCGGCAACTACAAGGATACTCCACATTCTCTTCAATAAGATTTTGGATGAGGAACACGTACCAACAGACTGGAAAGAAGGACTTCTGATCAAAATACCGAAGAAAGGCGATCTCAGCAAGTGTGATAACTACAGGGGCATCACTCTTCCCTCAATACCACGAAAAGTCTTCAACAGGGTATTGTTAAACAGAATGAAGGACTCTGTAGACGCCCAACTTCGAGACCAATAGGCAGGATTCCGTAAGGATCTATCGTGTACAGACCGAATCGCAACTCGACGGATCATTGTGGAACAATCAATCGAATGGAATCCATCACTCTACATCAACTTCATTGACTACGAAAAGGCATTTGATAGCGTGGCCAGAACAACACTATGGAAGCTTCTTCGATACTACGGCGTGCCTCAGAAGATAGTTAATATCATACAGAACTCATATGATGGATTACACTGCAAAATTGTGCATGGAGGTCGGTTGACAAACTCGATCGAAGTAAGGACCGGTGTCAGGCAAGGTTGCTTACTCTCACCCTTTGTCTTTCTCTTGGTGATCGACTGGGTCATGAAGACGTCAACATCTGAAGGGCGACACGGGATACAGTGGACATCTAGGATGCAGTTAGATGATCTAGACTTCTCAGATTATCTGGCCCTTCTATCCCAAACGCAACAACAAATGCAGGAGAAGACGACAAGTGTAGCAGCAGCCTCGGCAGCAGTAGGTCTCAATATACACAAAGGGAAAAGCAGGATTCTCCCATACAACACAGCATGCACCAATCCAATCACAATTGACGGAGAAGACTTGGAAGATGTAAAATCCTTTACATATCTGGGCAGCATCAATGATGAAAACGGCGGATCTGATACAGATGTGAAGGCGCGGATCGGCGAAGCAGAGCAGAATATTTACAACTGAAGAACATCTGGAACTCAAAACAACTGACTGTCAACCAATACCAAGGTCAGGATTTTCAATACAAATGTCAAGACAGTTCTACTGTCTACTGGGGCGGAATCCTGGAGAACTACGAAAGCCATCATCCAACAGTTGTTTACGCAAAATATTTCGAATCCGTTTACCAGACACTATCAGCAACAACCTACTATGGGAGAGAATAAATCAGATCCCAGAGGAGGAAGAAATCAGGAAGAATCGCTGGAAGTGGATAGGACACACATTGAGGAAAGCACCCAACTGCGTCACAAGACAAGCCCTCACATGGAATCCTCAAGGCGAAAGGAGAAGAGGAAGACCGAAGAACACATTACGCCGGGAAATGGAGATAGACATGAGATGAATGAACAAGGATTGGATTGAACTAGAAAAGAAGGCCCAGGACAGAGTGAGTTGGAGAATGCTGGTCGGCGGCCTATGCTCCGTTGGGAGTAACAGACGTAAGTAAGTAGGTAAGTAAGGAGCTAATCCCTATGGGTAGAGACTGGTATCTACCTTAGTACAATGGAAGATGGTCGCGCGATTTTGTGGATTGGTTAAGGTTAGACATTAACACCGTTGGATACCGGCTCAGTGGTCTGGAGGTTAGGCGTTCTCGCGCGAGACCTAAGGTCCTGGGTTCGAGTCTTGCGAGGCAAGATCGTGGACACGCACTACTGAGGAGCCCCATACTATGACTTAACGGCAGTCCAGTGCTCCCAGGTTTCTAATGGTGATCTAACATCAATCGGTTCATGATCTCAATCAAAAACTCAATAATCTCCACAACCCCATACTATTAATATTAAATGAATTTATTCTCATAAATCGTTTAGGGAAATATAAAAGTGTCGATTATCTCTAAAGTATTATTATTTCATTGCATCGAGAAGTTGATTTTTCGAGGTTTGTATCCGAAAAAGGATAGTCGAACTTGATATTCGTTATCTCTGTAATATCGGATAGATTCAATTCCTTTTGAATTATATTAACAGAATATAATAATACCACATCCAAAACTTTACAACTTTTTCAGTTTTCGAATTCGAATTTCACTAAGAACTATCTCTTAAATTATCGATTTTAGATTAGGAAGAAAAACAAACAAATCAAACATACTAATCCCGAGATGATATCTTTCAGCATACAGTTGGTGGAGATTTGTAGCTTAGGTAGATGATTTTGGAGTTTTGTTCTCTGAGCTGGATGGTTTGGCCTTGGAGCATTCATCATTTTTAGATTGTTGCTATTATAGTTGAGAATTTGATCTGTGTGGGTCGGCTTCCTATATACTTGAGTCTCCAGTTTACCTATGTTGGTCCTAGTGATTAATGCATTCAAGAATGATAGTTTGTCGTTTGACTCGATCAATGGTAAGATAGAGGTTTCACTGCTTCTACAATAAGTCCTGATACTGATGATCCTATCAGTATCCCTTTCGTTTGTTCGTAGATTTAGTTATTGAATTGAAAATTTGTTGTTAGGCATAATGGATGAGTTCTAATAAACTTTGACTTTGAAGTTTCGTGTATTTTGAGAGAGTTATGTCGTTGGTGAGAAGCAGGGATAGAGTTTCCTTTGCTAAGCTATTACGTCAAAGGATATCATTAGCTCGTCGTTTATGATTTAACTATTCTTAATCTGATCAAGGAATTGTGTGGGGGATTTGATGGACTGGTATACAGTAATCATTTTTTTATTACATCCTTGATCTGTCTACCCACCTTTGGTGCTGAGGATAACTTGCCTAATCTAGATTAAGACCTCGACGCGATAGACTGACCAGCTTAACTTTGAGGCTAGTACGCGTGAGTTCGAATTGGGTTAGAGAGAAAAGAACTATTCTATCATCTGATCGGCTGACAAGCACGCGAGCGAAAGAAGACAAGCGAACTGGAACACTACTCGATCTATTCTCAATCCCGATCTGGTTCCCAATTTCAAATCAGTGTAAAAACATACATGAATAAATAGATGACTGACCCAACCACAACGTACAATAATTAAGAAAATACAATTATGTTCAAAACTGGGGATTAACGTAGAAAATAGTGTACAAATTATTATAATTAAATTACAATAGCTTTGGTACAAAAAAAGGGTATAGCAATGAATCATACACCAAACAAAAGCTTATAATCTATAATAATTTTATATTTCCGAAAAATAATAATTACAGAATTCACGCCAGTTTACAGGCATGATCAATTTGATATAAATAGTAACGTTAGACGTGCAGAACAAACATGTGATAAAAGAAAGTTTTAAGTATACTAGTTCAGTAGTTGTTTAAGTAGTACATATCCAATGCATCAGCCGGGAATTTTTAATATTTCTTAAATGGACAGCCTGTTGATTTATGAACGGTGTAATTAAGGTCATTTCGTGTGCCAGATCGAATTAATGATAATTATCTACAACTAGAGAAATTAAAACGAAAACAGAGAGCACGGAACAGATTAGAGACAAAAATAAATATTACTAATTTACAAGCTTTAAATTAACTGAAATAACTTTCCGAAAAATAACTTTCGTAGTTTGGCAAAGCTTCTGTTCACATTATGTTTATTTAATAAAGAAACTTATCACACACACATACACACACACCCCATTAAATTATTCTCTCATCATATGACTGATATAGTCAGTATAATCAATATTAATATATCATCATTTTATATACGTCATTTATTGATTTGTAAAGAATAGAGGAAACTTTTAAGAAAAAGAAAGAGAAAAGAAAAAAGTTTGTTTCCATTTGTTTTTTTTCTTTTTTTTCTTTCTTTTTTTTGTAAATTGATTTCCTAATAAATAATATTGAATTAGTGAAGAGTTGTTGTTGTTGTTGTTTTGTTTTTCTTTCTTTCTCTTAAACAATTGCACTCAATCTCTCTTATATACATATCAATAAACTATGTTAACATAGAATATTAAGAATAGAACAAATGATAAATGATTTATATGGCGTATATATTGGTTTAATGCCTCATTGTACCCATGTTTATATGTTTAAATAAATAAACAAATAACAATCATTAAATGAATAATAAGTTTACATTGATTCTATTCACTGATTTTAAAGGGATTATTTCTCTCTCTGTGTGTGTGTGTGTGTGTCAGAGAGAGAGAGAGAGCGAGATAGATAGAGAAAAGAAAACAAAATAATAATAAAAAAAAACGCAAAACAAGAACAAAAACCACAATCCTGACAAATAAATATTATGTTTATTATTATTTATATTCGTCTATTCTATTTATTCATGAATGGATTATTCGTATCAAATTATCCAGTTAATTATGTACCATCAACAATGTGGAAACCTGGTTATATTCCAACTAATTTACCAAAATATAATAGTCAAGAAGCAAGAAATCCATTGAATAATAAAGAATATTCATTATCCTATGAATTAAAAGATAAAAGTTTAAAGAAATATGGTTTAGATATGGATGATGAATATACTATACCGGAATTGCCTAATTTAGCTGTGAAATATTATAATAATTATGATAATGATGATGATGATTCCTATAATCATGAAAATAATGATGATGTTATCATACATTTCGATAGTGAAAATAATAATAAGAAGAAAGATAATAATAATAATAATAATAATAATCTTATTCATTATTATTACTTTCATCAATATAATAAAAATAGAAAACAAAGGGATAATTCAGTTCAGTCTCAATATAAATCGTCTTCCAAATCTAGACTTCTCTATGGGACAAGTATAATTCCAACAGTTTCTGTACCAGTTTCAGTTCCAGTATATGCACAAATCCCAGTTTCAGTGCCTGTAGCACAACCGATTGTAAGTCATTCTTATGGTGTCAGTGGACATACATATATACAACCTCAACATTCATTTGGATTTCCACATGGTGGTCATTATGCTGTGGGACCTAGTATGATACCTCATCAACCAATAATACCACAACAACCAATAATACCACAACAACCAATAATACCACAACAACCAATAATACCACAACAACCAATAATACCACAACAACCAGTGATACCACAACAACCAGTGATACCACAACAACCAGTGATACCACAGCAACCAGTAGTACCACAACAACCACCTCCAATTGCCCCATTATTACCACCTACAATACCTCAGCAGCAACCACCTGCAGCAACTCCACAACAACCACCTGAAGTAACCCCACAACAACCACCTTCAGTAAGTCCACAACAGCCACCTGCAGTAAGTCCACAACAACCACCTCCAGTAACTCCGCAAAAGTCACCTGAAATACCAACATTTCCGTTCCCTAGTTCATCGGCTGAACAAACTCAAACACAGAGTCAAATAAATGTAAAACCCCAAGTACCACCACTTCAAATTCAACAACTACAGTTAACTCAACAACAACAACAACAACAACAAGCGTTACCAATTCTACACCAAAAACCACAAGTTACAGTGAAACACTTTATAACGCCACAAAACATAAAAGTATTCATTCAAAGTCCAAAAATTAGACCCAGGTTTATCAAACGATATTATTATTATTAAATTTTAAATATTAATAGTCATGATAATAATAATTATTATTACTATTACCATTATTATTATTGAATGTTTCATCTGAATTATTTACTAACGGACTGGTTAACATTCATAGAGGTGGTCACTATCAATGCCAAGGTTAGACTTGATAGTTTTTTTCAAATAAATTAAGCATTAGGTAGAAAGTTATAAACGAATACACTTGGTGTTGCTTTACTCCTATCTTCCCATTGTTATTCAGGACTGCAATTAATCAGTCTATTGTTAGCATATGCGCATCCTGTGCAAATTACCTCGATATTGCCTTAAGTTACAAACGTTCTAAGTGACCAGGAAGCGCGTTTCGTCCTATTTGGGACTGGTCAGCTGGATATACCTGCGTCCCAGAGTTGATGTTCACTCCGGGACTCGAACCCAGTACCGCTCGCTTCAGAAGCCATTGCGTTATCCACATAGCTACTGATAGAATCCCAGGCTAGTAAAATAACCACATTCCTATCATTCTTATAAATAATCATTACATTATTATTGTTTGTATAATAAACCATCTTATTTTAAATGAATTCTATGAACCTAATACATTTAGGAAACAGATAGACCTTTTTATATTTCATTTTAATCCCATTAAAACCATGAACCTATATAAATTAGACCACTGTTTAAAACTTGGAAACACTGAATAGCCGTTTCACTATGGGTTTAGCAGAAAATGTTGTAAATTTATGGTCTACTTCGTTACTAGTACCACTCTAATAATAGACCTAATCCTGAAATTGTAGATTTGTCATGATCTTACGTGGAAATCACATCATTGTCTATACCGACTTATCGTATCGTAACAACCACCAACATACGGTGGAGAACACATTTAGGCTGGAGATAGAACAATATATTTAATATGAATAGAAATAAGTTATAGAGAATGACCACACCCACGAGGCTGATCCATGTCACCCGATTGGATTCAATTCAATTCTTTGTTCCCGCCTTCTCCATCGTTGGGTTTTTCCCTGCGTTAAATGTTGAATATCTATTTTCCCAGTTGTCTCGTGTTCAGCTTTGAGAATTGTGTGGTTAGGGCTCAATGCCACTACAATGTTAATGACGATTCAAGTAATTATAAAATTTAATGGGATAGAGATGACATAATATTACTAATGTATAAGCTAGGTTAACATGTACGTCGATGAGAAATATAATATTTGAAACTTGGTAACAAAATTTATAGGGTGAGATATTAATTACGGAACTACAGTTAGGAACATTATTAGGTATATTATAGACTTTTCATAAGAGGTTACTGTAGTTAACCTAGTAACATTCATAAATATATAGCGATGATAGTCAAAGCTAAGAAGTGTCAGATGTTAAATCTTATATGGTTCACCTGAAAACGACACACTTTTTCATGGCAGTATGTTTGTGTTTAAGGCTTATAACTGTATCTAATTTCAAAAATGGCTTTCGGAATGGTTTATACAAAATATGGTTAGTTAGTCTAAATAAAAATATATTACTTACTTACTTTTACTTACTCCTGTTACTCCCAATGGAGTATAAGACACCGACCAGCATTGTTCAACCCACTTTGCTTGGAGCCCCTATGGGGTTGCTGCCGGTCCCGAACCCGGATAGCGGAGGAGAGTTGGACATGGGGTTAGCGACCCCATATATATATATATATATATATATATATATATATATATATATATAGTCCATAAATAATTCTTAGCAGTCACTATTCATTTACTTTTCGTTCAGATATAACACTTATTAACAGGTCTCTTCATGGTGGGCACTGAGGCCATCCTACTGATGTCATTTGAACAGACGAAACCAGTATTCGTTCAAGATTAAAATCTATCATCAGTCTCCTTCATTAGCACATGATAAAGAAATTTCATTACCCTTTACGTCTAATGCAGCCGTTTTAGTTAGATTAGGTCCAAAGTCTGTTGTGGCCTGATGAACTAGATCACTTAAATATTTCTTAGGTCTTTCAGGTTAAAATGACTGTGTAGACAGAACAAAGGGTCCCCTTACCATAAAAATCTCAGACTCCTGTTCGTTATAACCCAGTTTATCTAATCTAAGCACAGGTTCAACAAAAACATTATTAAGTTCCTTTTCAGTGTTTGTAATGAAATCATCACGATACGGAGGAATTATAAAGGTTGCCAGTTTTTAGTAACACTATTTTTAATCACAAGTCTATTGGAAACAATCTCTGAACCAAAGTATTCGCCGTCCAAACAGTCTAATTGATCGAGTCATTCATTAAATCCATTGTCAGAAATAGTTTCACGACTTGAATTATAATCGAGTATCTTGTTTGGCCTCTCTTTGTAGTCGCAAGTGTTTACCAGATCATCAGTTATGCCTACAATCTCAGTTGGTATCCTACAATATGATTCACTTATTCCAGCCTATTTCTTTTCGCATTTAACTTTTATTCTTATATCTTATATGTTCTTCTTTAAATTCTATTAGTTATGACACGTTACTAACTAAATAACGCATAGCCATTTTACTCAAGTAACGGGACACATTCACTCTCTATTATATCATCGATAGGTTTATTTGTGGTATCGTAGTTAATGTGTTCAGAAGTATCAATTTGTTTTTCTTTAAATGGTGAGGTTTCATCTAGTTCAGTCAACAGTGTGATTCTGAGGTTGCTCATCCTTCTTAGCTTCGCGAAGCACAACAGACTGTTCAGTACGATGCTTCCGAAGTTTCTCAGCGTTACTATATTTATTAATATACAACCTAGACCTTTCCTTCACGTCATTTCGAAAGTAGATTTCATTCATATGTTTCAGCCTTATTTCTTCCACTATTTGTCTTATCAATTTCACTGACAGTGCTGAGGCTCGCAGTTCAAGGTGTAGAACACAAACAAGTTTTAGAGGAGCTATTCTAGATTTCCTCGGGATGGAATATCTCGTTGTGCTTGCATCATACTCCAACCTCATATAAGCTACAGCCCCACAACTACTTTCTGATGCATTAGATATCGGTCCTTTGACACATGGCTCAATATTTAAGCATCGTGGTATCCTCAAGATTTCGACATCTGTAATTCCCTCCAACCAAGTTTCAAAACTCGAGCTGAGACTTTCATCAACAGTTTCATCCCATTTGCAGTTTTTACAACACAGCTGTTGCAGAGTCCGTCTAAGCTCAAGTAATAGAGGTACTATTAAACCAAGTGGTCCATACTCAAATACTGAAAGTGAAAGGATATCCTTCTTATTTGTCAGACGGTCGGAGAAGTTTATGCTAAATCCAAAACAACCGAAGTGTGTGTGCAAATTCCCAAATTCCTATGAATGCGTCCTTCCGAACCCTGTTTAAAAACCAAATTAGTTGATTTATCATTTACAGGGTGTTCATTCAGTGCATCGTTTCTAGTTGGTGGGTTTTCTGGTTGTTTGATGCATGTGGCGTTAATAGCATATGCTCTCTTCATCTTCGTTTGATTAGTTTTATCTGACGATTCAATCTGAAATTTAGGCAAACCTACTGACATGGGCGGTGACTTAACATTATCTACGCCTGTTTTAATTACGACATCTCTGCTCGTGCCTTCGTTGGTATATCGGCGGCCAACAACAACTTCAGGCGTCCTATCTTGGGGTCAAGACATAGATAGCTCAGACATCCGAAACCCACTTTCCACCTTGTTAAGATGTATCTGTGTAATTCTATCAGTCGTTTACGAAGCTCAAGCTGAACAATTTCTAACTCAATGCTTACTACTCCTAACTCTACAACAATTGCTTTTTCGTCAATTGCCCTAAGTTTAATATTCACATAAGAATCAACTAAAAGGCAACAATCAGAAGAGTCATTACTACTATAATCACTGTAAAGTTTATGTGATATTTAGAAGTATTTGAATTATAGTATGAACTAAGAATCCCAGAAATAACGTAATCGGATCAAGAACTACTAGATAACCACAAACGAATGTACTGTATTTAGAATTCGAAATCAAGCATTCAATAAGTACAAAGGTATCATTAGTTCATTCAAACACCATAGTCTATCGAAGCGTTCAGGTCACCCAATTGACATACGCGCAAAACCGAAGTTCACAAAATAACGATTTGTCTAAAATTCCTGTTCTCTATTGAATAATATGCAAAATTTAGTTGTAAAACTCAACTTGTGAGGTATCTGAGGCGTTTAACGCGCCCCTTTGAATGAAATAAAAAGGGCTTCGATAGTGCAAAAGACAGCTGATAGCTGTGTCTAAACTTGGTAACATTTTACCAACAAGCGAAATTCGAACCAAGAGCAAACAATATGAAAACCGTTGCGTTTAAACAAGGGTTAAACAAATGCACAAAATTGTGGATAACTTCTACAGTGGTTGAGATAAAGTAATCATGATGATAAATACAATAAATGTTATAAGTATATGTAAATATTTCAGGATATTACACGACAAACTCGCGTTACAACGTAAGCCTAGAAATTGCTAAGAATACAACAATTTACTGAATAGTATTAAGTAGTATAAAACAATACGCAAAAAAGTCGAATTGAAGTGGATAAGGAAAGAGATGGTAAAACTTAACAGTCACAAATGTAACCAAAAATGCATCAAAAAGAACTTCCCGTACATCAGGATGTACGCGCTTGTTCGCATTTCTTCTTCATGATCCAAAACTGAGTTTACGACAGACTTTTTCAAGAGCTTAACGGGTACTCCAATTATTTATTCATCACTGTACGATAAATACACCAAATCATATCGTAAATTTTTGTTTCATGGTGTACCACAACGGATGTTACCACAGAATAAGGTTATTGATGACTCCAGACGCATAAGATGAGAACTTTAAACATTCATAACTGCAAACCGAATAAATCGGTCGTAGCAAATCAAGTTGTGATTCTAGTTTGAAACTTAAGAGAAGCGGAAGTCTTTAATACTAATTATATTCCAAACTGATGATCACTAGTTAACATGAGGCTTAAGTCACAGGCTTCCTTCTGTTTCCTTCCAGTTAACTAACAAAATAACCATCCAGCAGTA